AGGAAAAATAAAAGAGAGGAAGTATTAGGTATGCACGCTTTCGAATTCGTTAAAGGGAAAGGGATAGGATAAGGGAACCGCCTCTTCCTTTTTCCCCTTTTTATCTCTCTCTTTCACTCTGACATTCTCTTCTTCCCTCGCATCCACCTACAGACTTAAAGAAAAGTTCTCTTTCGAAAAAATATTACCACCGGCAATCATGTTAACGTGACGTTTTAACGAGCTTCGATTATTCTTTTCCCCCATCCTATTTTAACCGTGATCCTTCAATTCGAATGAATTTCAAAATTCTATATATATATAAATACTTCGTAATTTACAACCGAACCCCTCTACCCGACCAATTCGATGCATTTTTTCATTGAACGCAAATTTCGTTACGTTTTATCATGTTCTCTGTGAAATCATTTTGTTTAATAACAAAACAAACAAAAAAAAGAAATAATAAAATAAATAAAAAGTATCTCGCGCGCAAATATTAATTTTAATTGTATTTTTACAAAGGTTTTCCGCGAATGAGGGGAAGGGAAAAACTCGAAATATCGACTCAAATTTGATGCTCGTTCTTTTTTTTTTTTTTTTTTTTACCAACTATACAATTCTTTCTTTTTCCCTCTCACTCCCTCTCTCTCTCTATATATATATATATATATGTATATGTATATATTTCTCTCTCGTTATTTATGGAAAAACGAATGGTTTATTTTTAATCGAATTTCCTTCATAACCAGTGCGAAAAGCTTTTGATTTCTAGTTGTTTAATCATAGCACGCGACCGATGAAGCGAATCTCATCGATTCGAACGGTTTTACCATTACCCTTTTAGGTTATATTAAGGTCTCTCGCCGTTGCATTGCGTTGCCCAGTTTATCTAACCAATTTTTAACGCTTTCATCATAAAACAAACATCAATCTCTTCGATGAATCGCAATGACCTATACACATTTAACAGGAAATGAAGAACAGCAACTAGACATTTTATTATCGTGATTTGTGAAATAAAAACCACAACCCTCCTGTTCATTCGTTCTATATTCTACTACCATCTTCCTGTTTCTATTCTTCTCAATTCGAAGTTAACTCTACTATAGTTAACAAACGTGACCTGAAAAGTGACTTTGGTCACACCCCTGGCTTAGTCGAGGATACATTGTTGTTCGATCGTTGCTTAGTCAACTCGATTCTACCAATTCTGCTCAGTCATCCAACAAGAAGAGAGAATCAAACTAGTTAAAGGTGATATTCGAATATCATTCATTTTAGATTATCTCTTTTCATTTTTATTTATAATATTAGTTATTATTAGTTGAATACGATCCGTTTATGTTCTATTACCATTTTTGTTTTTTTTTTCTATAAAAAACATTATAAAATTCATTAAAAGAATAATATAATAAATGTTTGTACAGGTAAACGTTATTAAAACAATGTTAAAAAAAAAGAAAACAAATCTTTTAGAATAAACTAATATATTGAATATATTTACCGAATCGCACGCACACAATCTTACGTCTCAACGTTATCGCATTCCACTGACTCCGTTGTGATACCACCGTCGTCAATGAAGTCACGTTTATCGATAATCAATATAGAGACGTCTAACATCCCCATCAGATATGGCATAACTTAGTACAAATTATTGTTAATTCGTGTGCATGGACTAAGAGAGAGAGAGAGAGAGAGAGAGAGAGAGAGATAGAGACGGGGAAAGAGAATCAAGGCATACTATCTGCTATTTGACATTACGATTGTTATTGATATTTGACGAATAATATCATCGAATGATCGAATATAATGTTCAAAAGAAAAGAGAACCAAAAATATTCACATATTACAAAAAAAAGTGATTGCAGTCTGAATAACATTTGTAGGGATAATTTAATTACCATAAGTATCGAAATAAAATGAAAACGTGCTGTTGGAAGAACAGTAAACAAAAACAAAAAAATGTCAATCGAACCTAATTGCCGTGGGAAATGGAGAAGTTGAAAAGAGGGAGTTGTACGAAGAGGAAAGAGGAAGTTTTGAGGGATGTCGCGAAACCGCTCGAACGATGAAAGTTCGTAGGTCGTCGTTAGTGGTAACCGGACAGTGTTCGATCGTCCGTTTCTCCTCAAGCACGAAGTAGTAGTCAAAGTTTGTCATTCGTCAGCCCGGTCAGACCTAACTCGGATTAAAAAAGGGTTCGGAGATTTGGGAATGAGAACGAATCGAGTGACTCGATTAAAGTGACCCCTCCGAATCCCGTTCCTGAAGAAGAAAAAGAAGAAGAAGAAGAAGAAAAAGTAGAAGTGGCCGTGGCCTCATCGAGTACGCTCCTATTTTTAGTGTGATATACTTCAAACTGAAAGGTAACCGTGTCAAGCATATACCGGGTCGTGATTAATTACGAAACAGATGAATATTCCTGCTCAACGCTTCTCTTTCGAACGCTTTTATTCTCGCTTATGATGAATGTATTATAACGAAATCAAAAATTCAATCAAACTTATACCGAAATATTTTTGTATTATATATATATATATATATAT